CGCCTGCTGGATGACCTTGGGCAAGCCACAGTTCTGACACAGCTGTTCTTGAAAAGGAGCCGTTTCTGTCAGAGCTCTCTCAGCCCCACCTGCCTCACAGGGTGTCTGTGGTGGGGAGGGGAAGGGAAAGGAGTTTGTGAGCTGCTCTGAGACTCCCTTGGGTAGTGAAGGGCAGGGGTATAGATCCAGTCTCTTCTTCTGCTTCTTCTCTGTTCGCTTGGTCCAGGAGGGAGCCGTGAGGAAGACCCCAGTCCAAGGCTGACTTTCAACACAGACTCAAGGGTGGGTCACTTCAGGCCTTTACATCCACCCCACCCCCAGTCTGGCAATACTGCCTTTTTTGCAAGCCACCCCAAGGGAGGTTTATTTAAAAAAAAAAAAAAAAAAAACACCCTTCCCAGTGGGGCAGCTTTTGGGGTCCAGGAGGCGCCTGTCGTCTTTTCTTCTCTGGCTTGGGGTGAGGGGCTGCGAAGGGCCATGGGCGGCACCCGTTCGCCCTGCTCCGTGGTTTCCGTGCACCGCTTCGCAGGCTTTGGACGCTTTGAACCACTGCACCCAGGCAAGCCCAATCTCGGAAGCTAAGCCGGGTCAGCCCCGACGAGTATTGGGTCAGATGTAAAAAAAAAAAAAATTGCCTTGGAAGCACAGAACCTTTCCTCAGTATCCCCGATCCTCCACGTTTCCCGGTTAAGGGGGAAAATGCCGTTTGAGCAAATTACAAAGGTGATCTGACTCCCAGTGGTAACGAGAGAAAGAAATTTTGCTTACAAAATGAGAAGCACATTTTACATGACATATTCACTGTTGGAAAATAAGTGTAAAGGCGTGCGAGTCTGACCCACAAATCAAGCAGTCACCAAGACTTGCAAAGGAAAAGCTTCCTATGTATTATAATCTAAAGCACTACAACATCATTCATAAGTCATAAGAAAACCCTTGCGCGTGGAACATTTATTGAGATCAGCATCCTGTCTGAATGTAGTATTCCTTATGACTTGTTGTCAAGCACTTCATGAATACAGAGAGCTTTTGTACAACTCTAATATCTCCTGAGGAAGATCCGATTTTGAAACGTCGTTATATAATCCGGAGACGACGTTGATTATGTACCTGTGCACAAGGATTTTCTTATGATTTATGAATGATGTTGTAGAGCTTTAGATTATAATACACAGGAAGTTTTTTCTTTGCAAGTCTTGGTGATTGCTTGATTTGTGGGTCAGACTCTCATTTATTTTCTGATTGGGCCGTGTTTCTCCATATTCATTTAACTTACCGGGAACAGGTTAACTTCAAAAAAAGGTTAACTTCCTACAGCTCCAAGCCCTGGTGCGAGAGAGGAGAAGGAAAGAGGTCCTCTATAGGATGGAACAGAGACGGTGAGCAAGAGCCAAAGAGGCCCGGCATCTAAGACGGTGGGGCCAAGCCCACCCCAGTGAGAGAATTCTCTTAACCCTCTCAGTCCCAGATCCTCTTGCATGTGGAGTTACAATGTCCAGCCGTTGGTACCTGGATGGGAGTCCACCAAGGAAGCCCCAGGGTCCCTATGCAGAGGCAGGCACGGGCAGCCACCTCTCAGAACATCCCTTGCCTCGAACCCTTTGCGGTCGCCGGTTAAGGGGGAAGATGCTGTTTGAGCAAATTACAAAGACGGTCTGACTCCCAGTGGTAACAAGAGAAAGAAATTTTGCTTACAAAATGAGAAGCACATCTTACATGACATATTCACTGTCGGTACGTTTAACTTACTGGGAACAGGTTAACGTCAAAAAAAGGTTAACTTCCTACAGCTCCAAGCCCTGGTGAGAGAGAGAAGGAAAGAGGTCCTCTATAAGATGGTCCTATATTGCGGTCGCCATGAGTCGGCCGTGACTCGACGGCCCTTCCCGCCACCGCAGTCGTCTGCACCCAGTGCTCAGCACTGTGCCCCCCAGCACGTGTACGGAGGCCTCCTCTTGCATCACAGGGGACATCTGAAAGCCGGTGCAGGAGCGTAGGCCCCTCCCCAGGCCCCCCCCTTCCTATACAGCCCCCCCTAGGATTGCGCAGCCCCTGCCCCGCCTCCTCTCTCCCCTGCTCCTCAAGCCGCCAGGTCCGCTTTCTCCAGGTGGCTTCCCGTTGCAGGTCTTGCCGCCGCCACCAGAATCAGACAAGCCCGAGAAGTGGGGCTGCTCCTCCTCCTCTTCTTGATTGAGTTTGCTCGGGAGCTCCCCTCTGTCTGGACGTGTGCTCCAAAGAGATTTGGGAATCGTAGAATCATGGAGTTTGCAGGGACATCCAGGGTCATCGAGTCCAACCCCCTGGACAGTGCAGGAAATTAACAAATCACTCCCCCCACACACACACACACCCAAGTACCTGTCAGGCTCCTCAATCAGGTCGCACCACACAGGGCTTCATGGGAAGATAACTGTTTATTAGTGCTTCCAGTATTAAAGAACACGTGTACAGATGGTGTCAGGAATGGCTGTCCGTATAAGGGCCTCTGACTTATAGTAAAATCGAACATCCCCCCCCCCCATGAGTGCAAGCCAGTGATTATAGTTGGCGCGGGCAAAAGCAAGCGGGCAAAGCACAAAAGCCGTTAACTTTCCCAGCCGAGTTAATTGCAGCCGTAGACAGCAAGGTCAAGCACGAGACAGCGCACAGAAGCAGGACAGGGCAGAGCCGAGAACAAGGAGGAGGGCACCCCTCCACATTCCAGATCTGTGACAGGGCTACCTGGCAGTACCCCTGTTCCATGCACAGGAGATGACTAAAAAAACCCTCCAGGATCCCCAGCCAAACCGGCCTGATGAAAACTTGCTTCCTGACCCCAAAGTGGCCATCAGCATTTCCCTGGGCATGTAAGAGAGGGCCACAAGAACTAAGCACTGAGGCAACCCTCCCTTTCATGATCTGCCGAAGGGCACAGACTCTGCATTCCTGACAGGTGGCCATCTAGCCTCTGCTTGAAAACCTCCAAAGGAGAGGCCGCCTCCTCCCGAGGAAGCCTGTTCCACCGAGGAGCCGCTCTGTTAGGAAGAGTTCTTTCCGATTTAATTTCAGCTTGCTGGTTCTGGTCCGACCTTCTGGGGCAACAGAAAACTCCGCACCATCCTCTGTAGGATAGCCCTTCAAGTCCTTGAAGATGGTGATCGTATCACCTCTCTGTCCTCTCCCCTCCAGGCTAAACATCCCCAGCTCCTGCGACCTTTCCTCTTAGGCCTTGGCCTCCAGACCCCTCACCATCTTCCTTGCCCTCCTCTGGACACGTTCCAGGGCTGTTTTCTCCTCATTCAGCCTTGACCTGGTTCTCCTAAACTGTCCCTTGACCGGTCTGTAATTTTGGCATCGTTTCGTGTGTCGCGCTAATCCTTGCGCTCTGCTTGAGCCCCTGTTTCTGATTTACATTTGGTTTCCAGATTTCTGCAGTCCAAACGGTATGAGTCAGTGTGAGCCAGCTCACCGTTTTTTTAGCCTCTCCGGCTCACCCGTTTCTGTCTCAGCTCAGGAAGGAGGGCTCCAGAGCAAACTAGTGTATGCAGTAGTCAAATCACTCGCTCACAACTTGAATGCCAGGAGCTCACAAAGTAGATTTTTTGCTCACGAGACTCCACAGCTTAGAGGGGACATAGTCAGTTGTAATTGCCGGTAACACCCTTGTAATGTAGGTCAGTGTTAGGAGCACCGTGTTTCCGGGGGGGGGGAGACGCTGAGGGAGGCCGACCTGGAGCCACCTGTAGAGTTCATGGCTCAGCCAAGATTGGGTCCAAGGCTGCCTCGATTTGCACCTTATGTCTCTCGGCCCGCAACCGAGAGCCACATTCCATTCCAGCCATCCCTTTGTGAGCATCTCTGTCTATGAGTCTGGGCTGCAAGCTGCCCTCGGCACAGAGCGCCCACTCTGCCGCTCACGTCCAGTCCCCCCCGATTCTATCATTTTTTTAGCGGCCAAAGCCCATTTGCGTCCCGCCGACCAGTTGTTACCGATGCACGCTGCATCCTTCGCGTCCCGTCAGGTGCTGTCAGATCTCGCCGGGTTCTCTTAAGAGATTATCTGTCTACTTCTCCTCTGCGGCGTGATGCTCTGTCACTGAGTACAGAGAGGCTCGCTCATCCCCGGTGCGGTGCCGAAGGAGAACTTGCCGCCAGCCAGACGCGTGTTAGTTGAAAAGAGTCCAGTAGCACCTTAAAGACGAACTAAATCTGTGGCAGGGGTATGGCTGTTTGTGAGTCACCGCTCAATTATTCAGATATCTGAACTCAAGAAAGCTCCTCCCCTTGCCATAAATCTTGTTAGCCTTTCAGGTGCTCCTGGACTCTTGCTCTTTTCTGCTGCTACGGAGGCAGGGGTCATTTCCTGCAGGAGCGCACAGGAGCGGAGCTCCGGCAGTAAAGAGCCCAGGGGGCGGGCACATGCAACAAGCCCCGCCCCCTGCTCCCAGCAGCCTGCAGCCAGGTAAGTTGCAGAGCCCCCCCCCGGCCCCCTGGTCCAAAACAGT